CAGATTGGCTTCCGCTGTGAGTGTTCAGCACCCCTTATGGCCAAAGTGCAAAATCACGTATATACTATATATGCACGTGATTTTGCACAGGAGTGCCACTCTGTAGCAGTAAAACTGCTATAGGGTAGTCTTCAAGCGGTTAACAAATGTAGATGGTCCTTGAGCATATTCATCATGGTATGCATTAAAGCCAAACATCCAAACAGTACAAATACTGTATTTAAATATCTTTAAGGTTCTCAAAAAGTCCTTTAATATAAAAAGCAGACACACTTAAAAAATATAAAATAATCCTAAAATAGATCACCAGATAGTATACTAGCTTAGTAAAAATATGATTCAGCTTAATGTTTTCTGATATTTACAAAACACCAGTCATTTACACAGTAAATTATACTTTAATGTACACGTGATGTACAGTACATTCAAATGAACTTGCTTGAAACATGTCTATAAGACATTTCACATATGTTCTATACATTTTTACTTAAAGGATAACTTCACATGAAAATATTATTGCCCAAGGTCCTTTAGTGGGTAGAGAGCAACCATGTATAGGTGAAGTCTGTTTTCCGAGGTGATTTTTTTTATAAGTGATTGAAGCAACAGACATTTGAGGTACTCAACTAGACACCATTGAAGTGCTTATAGTACATACCGGTAGTTCCCAATTCATAATATGCAGACTCAGGTTATTCTTAACCTCATCCAGCATCTATTTGCTATCCATACATATCCATTATGTCCATCCTAAAATGTCATGTTAGATTCAAAAGCATATGTTCACTACAGTAGGCTTTGGAATGGAACTTTTTCTCCACACATTTCATGAAGATGGGTTCTGCTTCATCATGGGCATATTTGTTGCTATTCTGTAATGACCTTACCTATTTTGTTATATGCTCATGGCAGAATAAATCTGTAAAAATACACAGAGAAAGATTTCTATTCCATTGTCTTTTGCCCTTCTGCTCTCCTAATTGGGAGATTTTACCTCTCCAATTGGGACCCAGATAAAAAAAAAAAATGGTACATTAAGAAGACTGGTAAAAGGTTTGAAATACTGTTAATTTTTTTATTGCTGTCTATGCCTTTCTATCTTGAGAAAACCAATCCCCCTCACTTCTTATATAGATAACACAGGGCCTAAAGTGAGTAACAATCTCCCTAACTGGGTCAAAGCTACATTCACAAGGGCTCTCCCACACCCAGCTTCCATGTTATGCAGAGTCTGTTCACTCTACACTCTCCAGAAAAGAAGGGACTAGTTGAGGGAAGCAACTTGATAAAAGAGTGCAGGCATTATGTGGTGTCTGGTAAATTTTAATATGTGTATTGAGCTGTGTGCCTCGCAAGAGCCCATGTCTGTAATAACGTAGCCATAGAGAAAAACATAAAAACAAAATAGAACGATAAGTAGGAGATAAGCGGTCATCTATTAGTAAGATAGCAATAACAAATAAAGCCAAATGACTATGGCAGGCTTATTTGTATCAGTGACCACATTAGTGATTGTGGTTTTGCTAGCATTCATTATTTTCTGTGAGTTTATGTACTGAATTAGAGCATATGTAGGCTGCTTATTTTTGATGTTGGATCTAGGTTACAGCTTACTCGCTTCAGTGATCTCCAAACCCTTTTCAAAGGAAAAAGGTAATTTATCCTGGAAATTGCCATTTCTGGACTGCAAACAAGTCTTTAAACAGATGTTGTCAGGTCTGATTTTTGTTCATTTTGCAGGTTGAACAAGAAATTAAATTCTTATATTCTGTTGATTTAATTCAATAATTTATATTAATCAAACTGTTTTCTAGCAGTTGAGCATGACTGGACTAGAGAGGTAAATATTTTTGTAAAGTCATAGCAATTATAATATACAGATAAAACATAACATAAAGGAGGCAAGTTTTTCCTTGTAAAAGTGTTTTATCAGAGAGACAATAGCCACAAAATATTGATCAGTGGCTGGTTAAGTTGCATAATAAGAGGGAAAAAAGAGGCAGGCTATACATTTTTTTTGGGGGGGGGGCATCTCCCCCACTAAACTGTTGTGCTGAACCATTGGCTGCCAGAGCCAATCGGATGCTGGTCTTTTAACAAGCCCATTTGAAGAGAAGTTGGGCGTTAGACCAGCTTCTTTGGACAAAACTGCTGTACACACTGACCGAAGGACGGCTGGTTTCTGTTGAAGCAAATTATATCTTCAATATTCAGCCTGTGTGTACTAGCTTTATGACTGCTTCTTTTTAGTGACCGTGAGCTGGTTCATACTGTCAGGGGACAGGCAGATTCAACATTCAAATTTTTTTTAAAAGAGCTCATGTCCTGCTGAAAGCCCTCTCATGCAGCTAACAGGTTGTAGGACAGGTTACAGCACATATTGTGCAAGCTCTGGTCAATAGTCCTGCACACTCAATATTCCATAGTGTTCTCAACTCTGGCCACAACAGCCTTGCAGCCTACAATATGTAACTGCATATTTATGAACTTTGCTAGTTATATAGGGGATTAACATTTTGGCACTGGAGATTGTTCTATTACCAAACTATTATGAATTTACCATATGAACATTGCCCTAACTGTAAGCATCTGAGATAATTTGGCCTATTTAAGTAATACTGTGAGCGTTCACATTACCTGCTTGGTCTGGTCTATGAACATATGCAAACATACTTTGGTAAATAAATCCATTTGAGAGAGAACAGTCTCTGCAAAAGAAAATGAAGATTAGCAAGTAAATATAATGAAAAATGAATAGATGGAAGAAGATGCAGTAGAAGGAGAGGGGAGGGGAGAGGGGGCACAAAAAGGGCAGGACCTACAGCCTATGCTGCTGAAGCTAATAGGGGAACAAACGTTTGCCTTTTAATCTTGGCTGCTAAATGACTGGCACTGACTACGACTGAAATAATGAATATTGTTGAGAACAATAAATCGTATTGATTTTACATAGTGAATATTGTTTTGACAGCTATTATTCAGATTTAAGCAATATTATCACTCATATTAAGCCATTTGATGGTAATGGTCTTGAACACTTCTAGACAATTTTTAACTAATATAACAGTTATTTTAAAGGCAACTGAGGTTTGCATAGAAAATTGTAACATGGTACAGTCATGTAGACTATAGAGAAACCTTGTGGTGCTGCTCCAAGCTAAAAGAACAAGAGGGTCACCCTGCCGGTATGTGGAAAGGGGTTGCAGTGTCCAAGATGGTTCCAGTGACTCCAATGTGGTGAAATGATGAACGCTGCTCAAACCAGCCCAGATGTGTAGTATGGCCATCACTCTGGCCATGCCCTCTGATGTGCTTAGCCCCACCCACTGGGGGCTTGGCCACAGAGGTGAGAAGGATACAAAGAGCCGGAGAATATATCTGCATCATTGGCTGTAAAAAAGATGAGTGTGAAACAAACTCAGGTGTGTACATATGTGTGAAATAAACAAAAGAATATATGGAATTCCTTGTATTTTTATGCTTATGTCACACATATTGCGATAGCAATAAAGTTAAACAAAAACAAGGGTGAAAAAATGTAAAATTGTAACAACATACAATTAAAAAACACCCCGGTGACACACACACTCACACACAAAAGTGAATGTATGTATGGCCTGCACATGTATGTAAACTGTGATTACACCAGGGGCGTCCCTAGGCAGGTACGGGGGGTGCGCCCCGCACCGAGTGACAGCTTTTGCATGGGATGACACCAGACCTGCTCCATGGAAAGAAGTTTTAATGCAAGCCGACGATCCCTGCAGGATGAATCAGATCTGCGGATTGAGCATAATGGATCAGAGTCCGATCCATTATCCTCCCCAATCTGCAAATCCGATCCATCCTGCGGGGATCACCGGCTTGCAACCTATACAGGGTTAACTGATCTCTGCACGAGCTCCACGAAAAGGTAAGTTTTAAAGCAAGCCATTAAAGCGATCCTGTGGGGATCGTCGGATGGGGTGCCACCGGGTGACACCAACCCTAGGGATGCCCCTGGATTACACCACACATGTGAGATATTTCTGTGAATGCCAGAGTGAGAGCAATATTTATAGGGACAAAATTCACTGTTTACTCTAAATTAATAACCTGTAAAGGCTGTTAAAGTGTCACCTAAAAAAAAATTTAGGTCCCATAGTTTTCCACAGTTTTATGGACTTGCACAATTTGAGTCTTGACATGTTTGGCATCTATCTGTTCAAAGCAATCGCATCCTTTTATTTACAAAAGATTGGTATTGTTTTGTGTTTATGTGTACTAAATTCATTTTAGTGTATTTTTTCCTAAAATCATTCTAGTGTATGTTTTCTTAAATATGTGATTGATAAATAGTTGCTCAAATATAATACAACATAAAAAATGCAACTGCTACCCTTTTTTTCTACAGGGGCTCTGTTTTCAGAAAATATATACTTTTGGGGTTTAAAGTAATTTATAGCAATAATGCAGATTTTAATATTTGTGTGATAATTTTAAAAGGTGATCCAATAGAAAAGTGGTTAAAGCAAAAGCAAATAAAGTACCCACATTTTACCTGGTATCAGCATCCTCCAGTCCTTGTACAACAGGGCTGGGCTATTAGAGGAAGAAGCAGCACAAGTAGCCTAACACGTCATGTGCTGACAAGAAGTATATTGGTAGGAAAAGGGAGAAGAGTGACAGAGAGATAAGCCAGGTAGATGTGTGTCCATAATGACCTGGGCTCAGAGGAAGTGGCTTGAATACTGTTGGCCACTGGACAACTAGTGGCAGAAAGGTTCTGTAAGTGATAAATATTTCAAATAAAGTGAATATTGCACTGGTTTGGAATTTTTTTTTAATAGGCTATTTATTTTTATCTTTTTATTTTTAGCTGCTGTAAAGTAAAACTTTTGCATTTGAAATACCTGTGTTAATATACACTATATTGCCAAAATTATTGGGACACCCCTCCAAATCATTGCATTCAGATATTCCAGTCACCTCCATGGCCACAGGTGAATAAAATCAAGCACCTAGGCATGCAGACTGCTTCTACAAACATTTGTGAAAGAATGGGTTACTCTCAGGAGCTCAGTGAATTCAAGTGTGGTACTGTGATAGGTTGCCACCTGTGCAATAAGTCCATCTGTGAAATTTCCTTGCTACTAATTATTCCACAGTCAACTGTTAGTGGTATTATAACAAAGTGGAAGCAACTGGGAACAACAGCAACTCAGCCCCAATGTGGTAGGCCACATGCCAAGTGCACAGAAGTCGCCAACTGTCTACAGAGTCAATAGCTAAAGACCTTGAAACTTCGTGTGGCCTTCAGATTAGCACAACAACAGTGCGTAGAGAGCTTCATGGAATGGGTTTCCATGGATGCCGAGCAACTACATCCAAGCTTTATATTACCAACTGCAGTAAAAAGTGTTGGATGCAGTGGTGTACAACGCCACTGGACTCTAGAGCAGTGGAGACGTATTCTCTGGAGTGACGAATCACGCTTCTCTGTCTGGCAATCTGGTGGATGTGTTTGGGTTTGGTGGTTGCCAGGAGAATAGTACTTGCCTGACTGCATTGTGCCAAGTGTAAAGTTTGGTGGAGGAGGGATTACGGTGTGGGGTTGTATTTCAGGGGTTGGACTTGGCCCTTTAGTTCCAGTGAAGGGAACTCTTAAGGCATCAGCATGCCAAGACATTTTGGACAATTTAATGCTCCCAACTTTGTGGGAACAGTTTGTGGATGGCCCCTTCCTGTTTCAACATGACTGCACAACAGTGCACAAAGCAAGGTCCATAAAGACATTGATGAGCGAGTTTGGGATGGAGGAACTTGACTGGCCTGCACAGAGTCCTGACCTCAACCCGATAGAACACCTTTGGGATGAATTAGAGTGGAGACTGCAAGCCAGGCCTTTTCGTTCAAATTCATGTGCATGTAAAGGCAGGCATCCCAATACTTTTGCCAATATAGTGTATGTGCAGGGTGACTCCAATATTTAATATTGCAGAAATTCAGATTTCTCTTGGTGTGGCCTTCTTGCTTTGTGGTTAATAAATTAGCACAATCACATAGTAGTGTAAAGCTACGCCCACAGGAGCCACTTGGTTTGATGGGTCTTCTGTTCTGCCATGATTCCTTAAACTGCTCAGTCCCCACTAATGCACCTGATTATAGACTGAAGGATGCTGACACCTGTGTAACCTAAAGCAGAACTTCACCCAAAAGGGGAAGCTTCACTTTTCCTCTTCCTCCTCCCTCCTTTTTCATATTTGGAATGTGTTTTTTGGGGGGAAGAACGGGTACCTGATTTTGACACTTACGCTCTGACCTCCTAGGCAATTGAAGCGGAAGTTCAGCCCCTCCCTACTACCCCCAGAGCCTCTTGAGACATGTCACAGGTCCCAGGAGACTGTGGGACCATTCATGGGATGCAATATGGCTTGTGCATGTGCAGTGGGAGACCAGCTGTGAAGCCACAAGGAGTCAGTTAAGATGCCTACTCCTGACCTGAAGACCAACAAAGAGCTGGGTTAGGTGAGGACATCACTGGATGCTGGGACAGGTAAGTGTGTGTTTTTTAAAAGACAGAAGCTGCAGTATTTAAAGCTGCTGACTTTTATATTTTTGTTTACAGGGTGAAGATCGTTTTCAAGAGTTAGTATATTACCACTCTACAATAGTTCATAGAAAATAGGCCTCAGGCAACTGAAGATAGGTAAAGTAAGTATTTTATAGCAAAGTAGAATAAACACATTAAGCATACCAATGATCAGGTCAACAAATATGTTAGGTTAACTGACGGGAATATTAGCCTCACCTACAGCCATTGACCTACACCACAATAAAGCTAAACCACATTAAACTAGTATACACAGCATTAGTAAGGACAGGAACAACTAACTAAGCATGAATGGCACAAAGAAAAATCTCATTGTAACTCTTGGCAATGACTATTTAAAAAGTGTCCCCTAGTGCACTCTGTGTACACAGCCCTTTAGTGTGTGGGTGTACGCTTTCCTGACAAAGGGGTACTCCTGTAGGTGACAGTAAGTATCTGTCGTCTAATAGTAGTATTAGCCAGCTTTCGTTGGATCCATCTGTAACGTGGTGCACAGAAAGCTGTCTCTATAAGGCTGTATACAAGGGATGGTTGATGGGCTGTTAAGTAATGGGAAGTCTCAGTGGGCATTAACAGTGGGCAACAAGGGGTAAAGCTTGGTAATGCCACTCGCCACTCCTAGTATGCTGCAAATCAATTCAGTACACTTGGTGATCAACTGACCCAGAAATTTTTGTCCTCATGATCAAGTCCTCTCTGATATAGATGGTGGCACACTGCAACAGATCTCCCCAGCCTGGGTTCCAAGACACAGCAGCTCTCTCTGTGTCTAAGGACACATCATGGATACCCCACTCTGTACAAGCTCTGTCCCCTCTAATGCAGTGCACAGACCTCAGAAACAAGTCTACACTGTCTTGTTCTCTGGGGTGGTCTGCCCAGATCCCTGCACATTAGCCTGGAAAAGTTTGGTTTCTCCTCTCTTTGGTGAACAGGAAATCCTGGGTATTGAAATCCACCGCCTAATTGCCTCTATTCACTTGTATTGGGCCTTTTAAGAATTACAGTTCCCATAATCCTTAGCATAGGCATAGCAAGTTCCTCCTTTTCCCTGATTGGCTCATACACTGCTGCAAGGTGGTAGGGGGTTCTCACAGGGCCACTGTGATAACAGTGCAGGAAAGTGGCAGCAAGGAAGTAAGGGGTGAAAGTTGGCAGCTGTACACACACAGCTCACTCAGTAAATGTAGATACAAGCAGGGAGGTGGCACGTGGGAGAGTGAACAGACACACACAGCCCACACTCTGCAGCAGCCCAGCCATTCTGTCCTCAGGGCACTGGCAAGAGTAGGGGGGGGGGGGGGGCATTCAGTACAATGACAGTGGGGAGGGGGAAGTGAAGGGAGAGAGGTACATGCAGCCGGCAATGCATTTGTCTACAGTAGGTTCCTTCCTTGTTCTCTTCTCCATCTGAAAGATGCTTAACATCACTGCCCTCCAGCTTCTGGTGTCTGTTAACAGCATTGCACAATACAACAAAGCCATTGTTTTCCCACAATACTGAACATCCCACCCTAAGGCTGGCCTTACATTATACAATTTTCTGTACAATTTCCTTTAGATTTACCCTGAAGTATTTAGTGCCTGGGCCTGCATAATTGGACACAATTGAAAGTGTTGTTTAGGTTTGACCTCATATTATCTGCTTCTTGGTAAATCTATATGAAAATTGTACAAGAAAATTGTATAATGTAGGGCCAGCCTAAGTCTTATCTCTGGGAAGGCAAAACACAGAATTCAGGCCATTATACTGGCCATAATTTAAACATGTTTAGGGGCTTTCAAAGCATAACTGGACTAAAGGTTTTTTAATATCTTTGTCTGTGGTTTTGCTTAAAAACATGTCAGTGACTCTCTATTTTGTCTTATGCAACTACTGTGAACTCAAATTAAATTATCTAAAAGTAGGAATGCATTTCAGATTTAGCCCAATTGGCAGCCGCATGTGATAAATGATTGACTTATCTGAAGCTTTTTTGTAGTCCTAAAGAGGGTAAAATCTGTTTTTTTTGTTTTGATATTTTTCTTCATACAAGATGAATTACCCTACCACAAAGCAATCCGTCCATAATGATTCAATTGTAGTCTTAAATATCACATTCATTCAAGAAAGGAGAATAAAAATCGCCAACTGAGAAAGAAGTGGCAACATACAATAATGAAATAACAATGTAAGCCTATCATGTTCTAGGTGTTATGTCTTTTCTTTGTTGGATTTCAGCAATGAAAACAAAAGACCAGTGATGCAATGAACAGTTTAGTTTGAAAGAAGAAAATGCCTCTATCAGCTGCCTTGCTGTGTTAAAGCTGTGTGGCATACTCGGAGAGAAACAATGCCAACTGATATAAAGAATGGAGAACGTTTGCCTCCGCAATTACTAGAGCAGAAAGCAAGAGGCACTTATTAATTCACGTTCAGTTTATTAGTAAAATGTGGGCATAATGCAGGTTAAGAAAGTTAATTTGAATATATAACACTATTAATATGTAAAACATCATCCCATAAGACTAACATAGCTTGCCTTGCTGCTATGAGTTAGAATCCTATTTAGAATGCTTTCTACAAAAAGTCTGTATTCTGCCCCATGTTCACTGGTAGATCAACTGATGTCCACATGAAATTGACCCTCATGGGAGTGATAGAGATGTTTAGAGTTTTGGGGGTCAGGAATATAACATGTACTCTGGAAAGCATTAACAATATTTTGACACAATATAATTATAAATAAACTAGAGCCATGTAGTTTCACAAATCACTTTTTAAAGGGCCTAAGGCCTTCTGTGTCAACATGTTCTGGAGTTACTTTTTCTCCACTGATCAGCATCAGTCCAACTGTTAGTGCCCGTTCACATACTCCAGGGGTGTCCAATCTTTTTTCAAAGAGGGCCAGATTTGATGAAGTGAACATGCGTGAGGTCCGACCATTTTGCAGCAAAAACAAAGGAATGGATAAAGGAGAGACTAATACTGGTCATGACATATTTGAAATCTGTACTTGTTTCTTCCCCTAAAAAAAAAAAGCGAAATTGCTCTCACTGTTTTCCTTCAATGCTTGAGAAGGGAGCGCACCTTTGCCTTTTATCGGCCTTGCGCATGCTCCAAAACGCGTCGCATTGCATGCTGGACATCCCTATGTCATCACGCTGACGTCAACGTTGCGCTCCAGGGTGGACTCCGGACACCATCTTTGGATCTCACACGTGCCAGCTGGCCCCCTGTGAACATCTCGAGTCTCCTCCAGTGCTTACTACAACGTATACATTGGGGACGCCGCCATGTCCTTCGCTTTCACCACATATGCCTAAGCCTTTCGTTTTCTTTCATCATGTGTTTCTCATTATGTTCCTCAATAAATGTACCACATATTGCACTTAGCAGCGCTTTTCTCCTTTTTAGATATTGCCAAATTACATGTGGGGCCATATTAAACCAGAATACGGGCCACAATTGGCCCGCGGGCCGAACTTCGGACATGCCTGACATACTGTATATGCATATTGGATGCGATTTGAACTGCATCCAATCCCCATGATGTGAAAAACATTGCTTCCTTTGATGCCTGTTCACATACATCCGGTGTACTGGCAGTGTGGATTCAGTGCGGTTTTAACCTCCTTAGCGGTATTCCCGAGTGTAGCTCGGGGTAAAATTTGAGTACCAAGAGCGGTGTTGCTCAGGGAGTCCCTGCAGCACTTACCTTGTCCTTCGCTCCCACGATGTGTCCCCTGCAGCGTGTCCGGCCATCTCCTCCGGCCGATGCCGGCATCTGGCTTCCGTGTTCCGGTCCCTGTGACGTCGGGACGTACGGCAGCAAATTTGAAATTTTTAAAAAATGTCTTTTTTTTTAAAATGATTATTACATAGTAAAACATTGCTGTTTCAATGCATTTCACATACATTTTGTCCCTACTGCTTTGCCCTGTGCCCTGCCTGCATTTTGACTGTTCTTTCTGCCTGGAAACTTAGAAA